TGTCTGGGCTACCCAGGCATGGAGATGTGAGCATCAACGGTGAGTGATGACACAGTGTGTGCCTAATTCCATTCCGAGTAGTGTTCAAAGAAATTCACTCAAGTTTCACTGACGCCATGCCGCGCCAGCCGTCCCATCTGAACTCATTACGGTAAATGTAATTGCTGCCAATCTTTGGCCCAACGTGATCCATCGTGACGTAAGGACGGCTTATGCAAGTTGCTGCTAACATGGTGGCAATTTGGCAAATGAATACTTGCATCATGTAAGCTGGTGGTCATTGGTTCAGACCCATACATTATCACAGGGATTCCGTGTGCTTTAGTCAGATGCTCAGAGCTCTCATATTCACAATGCTACACTACATACTACAGCAGGACGTAGTAGTAGTAGTAGTTTTTATTATTTTACTAGGGGAGTCCCAACAGGCTACTGCCTTTTTACTGGGAACCCTAGGTGTGCCCACTGAGCACATACTGCTGTTGGATTTGTAGATACTGAGCATACATACCGCTGCTGGCTACATGTATGCTGATATCAAGCACACCGCCACTTGAATGGAGACGAGCATGCTGCTGCATGAACTGATGGGCTTCAATCAGGCCCGTGTCATTATAGCAGCACAGGCAACATACTGCGCTAGTCTGCAGTCTCTCCTACTTGTGCACGGCATACACGGCTGTGTTTGGAATATCCGCACATAGGTTAAGTAGACCTGGCGGGCATGCCGCATACTGGTGGTGCAAAGACAATCTCCACAGGCCTGGCCTGTTGACGCAGGCTTCAATGCTAACGCAGGTGCCGTAGCAAAGTCTGGCTGTGTTAAGCGGGATGACCATGTGTTCTTGCACACCAAGGACAATGGCAGCCTGCCAGCTGTACTGTTTGCAGCGAGTTAGAGCACGAGATGTTCGGCATGTTTTGACCACCATTTGACAGACTACATGTGATAGAGTCACTGCACTCCGCACCACAACCACATGGATTGGACCTATTCGAATGAGTCTGCTCCACGACAAATGCATGCTCCACTTGCCTCATCAGCCGGCTTTGAGGAGCATACAAAAGACTTCAGCTACTGGGTACTGGGTAAGCACAGCACGGCGACGTCACCACAGAGATCTGTGCGGGGCAGGAGATACCGGTAGGCACAATGGAACAGTCCTTCCAAGTTCCAGAGAAGCCTTGCTGGGATACCATGGATGTGATACGTGTGCGAGATCATGCCATTCTGGATGGACAGAAAACAAAGCAGAAGATGGAAATTCTTAGTTACTACAAGTATATGACTCCAATTCACACACACACACACACACACACACACACACACACACACACACACACACACACACACACACACACACACACACACACACACACACACACACACACACACACACACACACACACACACACACACACACACACACACACACACACACACACACACACACACACACACACACACACACACACACACACACACACACACACACACACACACACACACACACACACACACACACACACACACACAATTCAGGGGCGTCGGAAGTAGTTTAACATTGGTGCAGCCAAAGTGTGAGAGGGGGGGGCCTCCCCTGGGAATATTTTTTGAAAATTGGGCCTAAAAGGCCATAATTTAATACTACAGAATAATAATAAGAATATGCATGCTTTGATACACCGCATTGTCGATGTACTAGTAAAACATGATACAGTGTACCTGTACAAGAGTCGACAAGCCATCAACAAGGTGTCTAGGGGATCACTATATCACAAAAGTAAAAACACGTACTAATACTGTATATGGAAACAACTAACGAGGCATATAAGGTAAGAACATATAGAACAATGAATGCATGAGATGCCCCACACCTTTTCAGGCCTGCAAAAAGCGTAGAATAGATTTTTAGAATTTCGACTTTGAAAATTGAAATGTATCATTGTGTTAATTCTGCCCGTACAAGAGGCCGGTTCCCGTCGAAAAAAATATTGAAAATTATTGGTGCGGCTTTGGCCGCACCTGCCGCACCGGTTCCGACGCCCCTGCACTAACGCACAGACGCACCCACGGACCAGCCACACAGCGTCTTGTTGCTACTCTGAATTTCATGGCAATAAAGCCAATCATCAGACAACATAGTGGATATTGATTAGAGCACCTAGGAGCATTTCGTTGTTATATGCTAGAAACTGCAATTGTCATGTACATAGCAGGAAGGTGTATGCGGTATACATGTAGCTTGTGTGTCTTGTCAGCTGAAACAGTCCCGTCCCGCGGTTCCTATTGACTTTGATATCGTCTGACGGTTGCTAGCGAGCGCTCCCTGGACGCTTTCCACAGAAGGCAGCTCAGGTCACTTCTCGGCATCACATGGCCACAGAAAATTAGTAATTTGGCTTTGCATGCCCGATGCGGAGTGGAGCCAGTGTCACACTTGATCCAAAATTCACGCTGGAGCCTATTCGGGCATGTGCTTCGCCTGGGTAAGGACACGCCAGCACGATTGAGCATGGAACAATACTTTCAGGCACCCGAGGGGAGGTACCGTGGAAGGCCGAGGGTGACACTGCCAATAAAGCTCCACACCGATTTGTCCCAGTCGGACAATGGGCAGCTGCGGAGTGCCGAGGACTTGCGCCGTCTGGAACGGATTGCTGCGGACCGTCCAGCATGGAACGCGCTGGTGAAGAGTGTTTGTGCACACCCTCGTCACGAGTAGAAACAGTCATGGCACCCTTATAAACTCATAACAACCATTCTATAATAATTACTATTTGAATCTTGTAATAACTATCTGGAAACTCAACCTCGTATTATAATTATCTCGCCACCCATTGACCATGATGCTATATGAAGAGACAATAATGATGACGTTTTCCCCAATGACGCCACTTTTATGACGCTCCATGTTACTCTATGTTACTGAAGTACTAACTTTGGTCATTGGTTTGTAGAGCCCCATTCTCTAGGAGACATTATCACTACATCTGCTCTGTTTCAATGTCCAGCATAAGCGAACGTGTGGATCAAGCATAATTGCTTGATTGACGCTGCCGCGGAAATGCGTATAATAATAATATCGTCTCTCATGTCTTGCGGCTCATTTGAAGCATGGCACACTCTCAATCACGCTA